GTGTGGTGAGTGTGAGTGAGTGAGAGAGTGTGTGAGAGAGTGAGAGAGAGGAGAGAGAGAGAGAGAGAGAGAGAGAGAGAGAGAGAGAGAGAGAGAGAGAGAGAGAGAGAGAGAGAGAGAGAGAGAGAGAGAGAGATCGCACGGAGCACCTGCGGTATATTGTGAAAGCGACTCCCGCTGCATACTCGAGCCGTGACCCGGACGACCCGACCTCCAGGAGGGTTGATCTTGCCGTTATCAATTGTTCAGCTGGCGATCGTAAAAAAGAGTTTTACTGGCTCTCAAGCTTAATCTTATTTATGCCGAGGGTTGCTCGGGATCTCTGAAAAGGTTGTTTCTCTCTATCGCGTTTCGTTTTTTTTTTTTTTTTTTTTTTTTTTTTTTTTATTTTTTGTGACTTTTTTTTTTCATTTTGTTATTGCTGTGGTAGTTGTTATGTAAATATTACTGCTGTTGGTATTGTTTTTTTTTTTTTTTTTTTTACTATGGTTGTATTATTACCATTACCATTGCTATTACACATTGCTATTACCATTGCGAGAATCGGTCGTTTTCAAAGTTTGATTACTTGTGTTTAGTTTTGCGAGAGTTTAGTGCAGTCAGCTGTTGCTATGTTGACAAATACTTGCCTAAGCCGATGAGTTTGCATGTGGTGGAGGCTGTAAGTGTGGAATACTAATTAGATTGGGGTAGAAGGGGTGTGATGATGAGGATATGCCAACTCCTCTGTCTGTCTGTCTGTCCCCCCCCTCTCTCTCTCTCTCTCTCTCTCTCTGTCTCTCTCTCTCTCTCTCTCTCTCTCTCTCTCTCTCTCCTCTCCTCTCTCTCTCTCTCTCTCTCTCTCCTCTCTCTCTTCTCTCTCTCTCTCTCTCTTCTTCTCTCTCTCTCTCTCTCTCTCTCTCTCTGTCTCTCTCTCTCTCTCTCTCTCTCTCTCTCTCTCTCTCTCTTCTCTCTCTCTCTTCTCTCTCCTCTCTCTCTCTCTCTCTCTCTCTCTCTCTCATATATATTTCTCCTCCTCCTTCCTCTCATTCTCTCCCTTCGTTTTCCCTTCCTCCCTCTCCTTTTCCTTCTTCTCCTCCTCCCCTGTCTCTCCCTCTCCCCTCTCGCTCCCCCTCCCTCTTCCTACTCTTCCTTTCCTTCCTTGTTCCCTCCCTCTCGACCGTCACTCTCCTTCTCCCCTCACTTCCCCCCCCCCTTCCCGAAGACCCTTCCTCTCAGCCATGTTTATGCATTTCGGGCAATTTTTTTCTTTTCTTATTTTCTTTTCTTTTTAATGCCCACTGAATCGCCTTCCACGTAATTGCGGCGGTGGGGCGTTTCCGTCGCCGTCGTCGTCGTCGTCGGTCGTCGTCGCCGGTCGTCAGCGAAGTAGGCAAAGAGGCGGACAAGTGTTCGTCACAAGCGGACGGGAATAACAAGGAACCTTCAAGGCCGGCCGAATAGAGCACGACGACCGGTTGTGGCGGGCGGCGGCGGCGTGCGTGTTCGGTCGTATCGTGACTTGCACCCCCCCCTCCCCTCCCTCTCCCTCCCTCCTTGCTTCGCCTCCGAGGTCCTGCTCTCCTCTACTTCTTATCTCTCTCTCTCTTCTTTTTTTTCTCTGTCTCTCTCTCGTCTCTCTCTCTTTCTTTTTCTCTGTCTCTCTCTCTCTCTCTTCTCTCCTCTCGCTCTCGCTCGCTGCTCTCTCTTCTCTCTCTCTCTCTCTCTCTCTCTCTCTCTCTCTCTACACATTTTCTCTGCTTCTCACTGCTCTCTCTCTCCTCTCTCTCCTCTACTCTCTCTCTTCATCTCTCTCTCTCGTCCTCCCTTGCATTGTCAGTCTACTACTTTTTTGCTTTTTTTCATCCTCCTTCTTCGTGCTTTACTGCCCTCTATTCTTATATCTTCGTGTCTCTTCTCCTCCTCCTGGAAGTTGCTTGCTTGCTGTTTTGTTCGCTGTTGTCCTCCTCCTCCTCTTCCCTCTGCCCTTCCTACGCCTCCTCTCCCTTTGCGCTCCTCCTTTCTCTTCCCTAATTCCTCCTCTTCTCTTTGCCCCCCCCTTATCTCAGCCTTTCTCACACACACCATTTGTATGCTATTGTTGTGTGATGGCTATGAAGTATATGCATTATATTACCCATTATCTAGATATATATATATATACGTATATATGGTATTATATATATATATAATACAGTAATTTACAATATACATCTATTTACACCTATATATATTGATATTATTTGTTATATACACAATCAAACAACACAAATAAGCGCCCACATATTTGATATGAATGATACGTGTGTGCGGTACCCAGGCGCCTATGTTACACCGAATACAGTGTTTGCGCGAGGGCATATGCTAAACAGTCGTTTCAGGCGTTAGGTTAGACATCCGCGCCCGCCATCACACGGATAGAGAGCCGACAGGCTGACAGGTGCAAAGATAATTTTTTCATGATCCATTACTGTATGGACTATTGTTGCGTCGCCGGTTGCGTGAAGTAACCGTGGTCATCTTTTCGTGCGAGTGCGGTTTCTAGGACGTAATAGAATGGATCGCGTTCACACGGGGGGCGGGGGCTGGGGTGCGGGGTGCTCTGTGGATTGGGGGGAGTTGGGGGCGGTCTCCCATCCATCTGCTTACACCTACTCTTTTTTTTCTTTTTGTTAATCTTACTTTTTCTTTCTTTTTCCTATTTCTTCTCTCTCTCGAGTCTTTCCTTTCTTTTCTTTTTCATTTTCTTCTTTCTCCTCTCTCTCTCTCTCTCTCTCTCTCTCTCTCTTCTCTCTCTCTCTCTCTCTCTCTCTCTCTCTCTCTCTCTCTCTCCTCTCTCCTCTCTCTCTCTCTCTCTCTCACTCTCTCTCTCTCTCTCTCTCTCTCTCCCCCCCCCTCAAATACCCTCTCCAGCCTTCCCTTCTCTTACGCTCTTCCTCCTCCGTCTCACCTCCCTCCTCCCCCCCCTTCCTCCCCCTGCCCCCCCTTCCTCTCGTCCTCCCCCGCTTCCCTCCCCCTCCCCTCCTTCCTTCGGTCCTCCCTCCCCCTCTCCCCCCCCTACTCCCTTCGTCTTTTTTTTTTTTTTTTTTTTTTTTTTCTCCCTCCCCCTTGCCCCCGTTGCTTCGTCCTCCCCCCCCCCCCTCCTGACCGAGCCGCCACCGTCCCGTATACAGCGCTCATGGAGGGGGAGCGTTATTAAACATATAAGCGGTTAACTAGACCGTCGCTCTTTACGGTCTTTAATGGGTCCCCGCATCGCGACCCCCCGTTTTGCCCCGGACACTGCCTCCTTAGCCCCCTGCTTCTGGCTTGCTGCATGTTGCCTCTGCTGCTCCGTGGATTGCTCGTGCGGTATCTCCTCGCCTGCTGCTTCTCTCTGCTCATCTTTGCTCCTGTTCCGTCTTTTCTCCACCTCCTGTTCCTCCTCTTGCTTCCTCCACCTTCACCTTTGCCTCCTCACTTCACCTTTTCCTCCTCCTCTGCCTTCCTCCTTCTGTCTTTTTCCTCCTCGTCTATTCAACCCCCTCCTCCTTCCTCCTCTTCTTCCTCTTCTCTTTTCATCCTTCTGCTTCCTTCTCTTTCTCCTCCACCTTTCTTCCCTCCTCTTCAGCTTTCCTCGGCCTCTTTCTTTTCCTCCTCGTCTCTTTTCTCCTCCTCCTCGCCGCCTCTCCCCCTCATCCGCGCCCTTCTTCAGTTGTCCGAAGAGAGAGGCGAAGAAGAGGTTCCCGTCAACAAGCAAGTGCGAAAGAAGGGCGATTGCGTTTTCTAAGGACGACAATTTAGCTACGTGAGATATATCGACGTATAGGACGGTCCCTTCCACGCTTGAATTCCGCGAACTATGCGTCGCATCGGATCGTCTCTCTCATCTCTCTTACTCTCTCCTCCTCTCTCTCTCTCCTCTCTCTCTCTCTCTCTCTCTCTCCTCTCTCTTATCTCTCTCTCTCTTTTCTCCTCTCTTTCGTTTCTTTCTCTCTCTCTCTCTCTCTCATCTCTCTCTCTCTTCTCTCTCTCTCTCTCTCTCTCTCTCTCTCTCTCTCTCTCTCTCTCTCTTCTTCTCTTTCTTTCTTTCTTTCTTTCTTTCTCTCCCCCCCACCGCGGCTTTCGCCCGAAACCAAAGAACACCGGACCCAAAACAACAACAACAATGGCCTTTTATTTTGTTTTTATCGGGAATCTCTCGCTCCGGCGTGAATTGGAGTGGAAAAGCCGCTTCCTTTCCTTATCGCCAGGGCAAGACAAGGCTCTGGGGAACGGAGCTGCGAACATTAGGGATGATGTTTTTTTTTTTTTTTTTTTTGTTTATGTTCCCCCCCCTGTGAAGGAAGAAAGAACGTGCGGATATTGAGAAGGAATTGGCGGGATCGAACCCCTTTCACTCCGAGCAGAGAGAGCGGAACCGAGCCACCGAGCCGACACGAAGGGGCTGAGAATTCTCGAAGGAAGCTCTGCATCGGCGCCTATTAAAATTAAAATAAAAAGATTAATGATAGATGGATTCTTTCTGGCAGCAACGGTGTTTCGTAGGCAATCCCCGTTGAGCAGTCGGAGGAAAATGTTTCGGTTAGTGAGGTTGCACATCCGGATAAAGAGGCTTCACTGCATCATCACGACTTTCCAATGAACAAAGATCTTCAAAGGAAATATATTCACCTGCACGCACCTCCACCTTACCCTGAAATGATTGAAAGTATGACCGCACTCACTTTACTTTGGAAGGTATCCCGGTGGCAGGAGAAGGAGGAGAAGAAGATAGATAGATAAATAATAAACAGCAAAGGAAAATGACAGGAGATCGGAGGCCGCGGCAACGTGAAGCACGAGCCCCGGCGTCGCACCTTCTCTCCTTCTGCCTCGGCCAGTGATGTCATGCCTAATTCTGGCACGGGCTTTAGCGCTGCCCGGTTCGGTGCCTGGGATC